TAGAGAGAGAGAGAGAGAGAGAGAGAGAGAGAGAGAGAGAGAGAGAATAATGTTTTTACAGAGCGGGGTTTTTTTTCACCCGTAACTAATTAATCTACTTCTGTCTTTTTGTGCGTATGCGTGAGTGCGCCTAACCTTTGTAACATCCTCTGCCATCGTACACGACTAACACAAATTTCACCCCATGAGATGAATAAAGTTTGTCATTGTCAAAAATTATTATAATTTATAAAGACACTCTGAAGATCGACTTCACAAAAAAAATTGTTCCATAGGTGAGGATGAGCGGGAATGTAACAATTAAAGTGTCTTGGCTAATCTGACTAATCACAGCCATTTGACTTGAATTATTTTTCTCACACCCCAAACTGTTACCTTTCAAGTCTGCGTCGGAGGCAAGACTTGTGTCGTCTAAACTGTGTCTTTCGGGATGTTAAAGCAAGATAAATTTAAGGCAATTGCTCACAAAATACTCAATCTTATTATAATATGTGCAGGTTTCATCTTGGGGGATAAAAATCATTTTTTTTCTATTGGAACTGGAAGTACTAGACAGCGCAAGTCGTTGAGGATGATATTTAAAATTGTTTTTTTTTTAATGGTTAGGCTCATTATGTCGCTTCACACACAGAACGCGAGTTAAATTCTTGTGTGCGGAGGTATTGGTCTTCTGGAGTGATGTTCTACCCCAGTTTGGCCCTGAGAGGCAGGGTCAAATCTTAAGAAGTTTGCACGATTAATCGGGTGTGTCAATGGGATCGTAAAACGTTTAGATCAACAATAATTATACAATCTCATTTTTTAAAAAAATGTCAGGATTTCCCATTCTACTCTCAAATTATAATATAAACATTCTCCCTGCAGAATATATCGTTGGTAAGCCAATCATGTGACCCCTTTGTAGTTCTGTTAGATTCTCCGGACTTCCGGTTTAGTTGCGTGACGTCAGAGATAGTTGACATCATCAGCTCCAACAACTAATTTAGGCTGCAAACATGTCTTACGCGTATTTGTTCAAGTACATTATCATAGGAGACACTGGTAAGTGTGATAAAAAGTACGTATGTAGTTTTGTTTCTACATATGGCAGTTTTTGAAACCGTGGTCTTATACGTCCTTCGACTCCACTAGCAGTCGTAGGCTAGAATCTAGTTTATCTGTCAACAATTCATCATGGCCGACTGGCACTTTTCACACAATGACTCGATTTTGCCAAACGGAACCTGCAGGGTGGCTTCTTTTTCGAGAAGCTTGTTATAGTATAGAGTCGCTTCTGGTATCCGTAGTATTTCAAAAGTATACACTGAATGCATGAAAACATGTAAAATAATCGTAAAGAGTCTGGACATGAAGTGTGAAAGCATCTTCTGCCATCATCTAATTTATTATACCATGAAATTGGCACACAGTTACACAGAGAAATTATAGAGCTTTAATCCTGGTCTAGCCTCCTCAGGTCAGATGGTTGCTTAAGAACCTGGTCATCAAGAGACAGAAGAAGCAGGTTCTTGTTTTAGGCAGAACAGGTTCTTTCTATCAATAACTTTCTTTTGTTCCCCGGCGAGCATTTGGGAACGTAGCAATGCCAATCGGACTTTCCCGCGTGGCGAAAATTTGGTCCCCGTTTGCGGGTGATTTTGCGGACCCGGCCGAAGCGTAGGTGACTAACTTTGTCAACCTCGATCTGCTCTATTTCCGAACCAATCCGAATGAAACTCGGCAGCAAATCAGAAAATAGGGCAAACTAATGATATGTGGACGTTGAAGTTCGCACACATAAATTAACCTATACTTTTGGTGTCGGGAACACTTTCGTATCAGGTACACCGAAAACTATAGGGAGTTTGAATTTCAACGCTGAGATGGTAATAAAGATCTATCTATCCTCTATTGTGTGCTCAAATTTGAACGTTCTGTGTCAAGTAGTTGTTTAGACCCGATCGTAAATCTACGACTACCCCCCTACTCAAAGCGACTTCGCACGGAGACCGGCCATTTTCCCCTCACTCTCGTGGCAAATGTATGTGACCTACAAATCCCTGCATGACTATTCCGGGCCCGTTCATTGGTCACTTGAAATATGGTAATGGCGAGCGCGCGCATCCGGTTGTTTTTCTCTCTGTTCCCCTGTAACATCGCAATGGGGGTATTCTGAGGCGTGGTTATCTCGTCTCCGGGTGTTCGCGTCTCAACGGGGAAAAAATTTTTTAATTGTACAGCATGCTAGATTGAATTAACTTATCTTTTACGGTTGGCATGGTCTAAAGTCATCATAAAAAGCTTTGCAATTATTTAGTCACGCTGCCGACATATATATTCTTAAAGATCCAATGTTGT